CGCAGGCCCACTGTGACATTGAGCCTCTTATAACTACTCGCTGCTTCCTATCCGTTAACCAGTTATCAATCCAAGTCACGACAGTTCCTAAAATACCTGTCGCTTTGAGTTTAAGTGAGAGCCTAAAGGTTCAATTCTGAGTGTCTCTCACAAACAAGTGTAACTCTCTAAATGTGCCCTGTGATGGACTGGCATCCCGCCTGAGCTGGACCCCCACCTGTGCCATAGGCTGTCTGGGGGAGGGTGCAGGCCTCCCCATCACCTTGACAGGCAGTGAACGCCTGCTTACCTGGGGCAGAACTGTGATGACACACTCTGCTGGAAGGTGGGAGACGATACGAGCCACCATCTCCCATGGCAGCGACAGAAGCCCTGTCCCTTCTGAAGAAGCCAGCGATGGTGAAAGCGCTAGCCTGGAAAGTCACCAGGAAGGAGTTTACTTTTAAGCTAACATAAAAACGTACAGGAGACTGCAAAGGAATATTGTAAAAGACTGGACCAATATAATCATGTTACAGTCATATTGCCTAGGCTGGGCCTTGCTCTGCCTAATGAGAAAATCATGTGACTTTAACCCACACTCCATGGGTAACCGGCTGAAGGAACTGCTGAGCAGATTAATGTAAAAGCCAGAGTTATGACAGGAACTGCCCACCCTTGCAGATCTTGCCCCGCAGGCTCTTTGTACTGTGCATTTAGCGGAAGCTGTATTTCGTGGTCCACATTACTGCCCCCTTTCAGCTCGGCTGCAGCCTCTCTCTCCGCCAGCGTCTCTATAGTCTCCGACATCCATCCACTGTGGACGGAGAACAACCTTATTTCTGCAGGTATAAAAAAAAAAAAAGGCTCCAAATTGCTAACTGTATTGCACACAGGGTCCTATCAGTTCACGAGTACAGCCTTACAATTCTGACAGTAAAATAATTTATTAGTTTAATGATTCACAAATTTAAATGCTGACCATTGTCTGAGAAATGGTACCATGCTGGTTAGGTAATAAACATTTTATCCATTATTAGAGCAGTAATTAAAAGTAATTTAAGTAATATTCATTTAAATAAGCATTCACGGGTCGTGGTGGACTTTTCCCGTTGAATAATTACCACCAAGCTCTCTGAAGGCGTTTCTATGTTTTGTTACACCAAAACATCTAGTAAGAGCAGTGACACCTAAAGGTAAATCCACCTACCTTTAAACGTTTCCCTCTTGCTGTTGTTTTTCAGATGTCATCGTTTACAAGGTTGCCACGGTTGCGCCGTCAGTCCATGATCATTAGCCTGATGGTTCTTAAGAAATGACAACCGCTGTACACAATGAATGCTGTCAGCCACAGTGATCCACCGGCTTCGTTTTTGTTGTGCCTGATATCAGCATATGCTGCTTTAATATACTTATCTATAGCAAGAAATTGCAAAAATGCTTTGTTTCGTAATACAGTACAAAACTTATCAAACTGATTTTCAAAACAGCGTTCAGCTGGCGACCCAAATTCAAACGTCGCTGGCGAACAATATTACGTCATAAGTGTGCGACTCCGTGGGGTAAGCTGTGCCTCCTGGCCGAGTCTCAGGAAGTGTCTTAAAACTGTTACAAGCTTATTCATAACCTTTAATAGTCTTGTCATCTTCCTACCAAGTCAAATCAGGATTAAGTTACGTTTTCAGAAAATATGCCAAAATAAGATTGACCCCTCTATTCATTGATGAGTTTCTCCGTACATTACGGAACTCTTGCCAAAATAACGAAAATGTCTAGTAAATGGACAACATATCTGACAGAGTTAACATTTTTAAATAGGCCCGATACTGGCAACGAGCCTTTCACTTGTCTGCGAGTGTAAGAAATGTTAAGACATTTGTCATTTAAATGCCGTCAATCGTGGTGAAAAACCATCTCATTTCACAAGCTACTAAATACATTCCTCATTTCAAATCCCTCAAAAAAACAACCTAGAAGAGAAAGAAAAAAGCATGGAGAAAAACGATTCATTGGCAGCTTGGTACAAAACCTTTTATTTTCCATTCACAAACGAAAAATAAAAGTGATACGTCTGATACATAAGTTAACATCCTACCAGCAATACACTTAAGGGAAAAATTGCAGTCTTGAGATTAAATTACACAAGGCTCTTACAGGTGTGCCCTTCATTCCCTGTTTATACAGAAGCTGGAGTTCTATCCCAGTCTTTCCCCTTTGTTACATTCTTATGGCTAAATTTAAACAGGTCTACAATCACATATGGGAAATTAAAAAGTGGATTTAAAAATGGCCTAAAACATGGACAATGGAGAAGTGAAGGGAAAAAAAAACTAGAAAAAATATGAAAACCATATCAGGAATGCAAAGTGGGTGGGTGTTCACATGAAAGAACACAGCAACATTTATGACCTCAGGTCAAACAGCGAAACCTTCTCAGACAGACAGCTGCCGGCCATAACTACGAATTGTGAAGTGCAAGCTGGACAATTTTTGAGCAGAACAATTAAAATATGCTTTTTTTTTAAAAAAAAAAAAAAGCTTTTGAGATCCTAGCCCTGGCAGGGAAAATGGCAAGCTAATGCGGCACAGTCCTCTACAGGCGCAGGCTCCCGCTGAGCGACGTGAACATCGAAGGAAAGAAAGAAAATGGCGGACGGTCATCGCTTCACGACTACTAACAGACCTTTACTTTAAAATGCTCACAAGTAATTCTTAACAGGACAAAACCTAGAGACTATAAGTACAGCCTTATACTGTAACGGGTGAAAAATACATGGTGAGAAAAGGCAGACAAGCACTGCTCCATTAATCCCGAATAAAAATGACACGCGGCCCTGCCTTGCCTGGAGACCGACGTGGCCTTACGATGACACTCGACGCATGCTCCCCGCAAGCTAAGGGACAGAAGCAGGCCCCGGTCCCCTTTACCAGCACAAGCCAAATGAAAATGACACACGACACAGATGCATGTGTGTTTATCACTGGTGAGACGACGCATCACAGAACACAACCGCCGCCTTCGTCCCGAAGCCGCTGGAGCCATAATGACGTCAAAGTGCCTTGTGAGGGACTGGAGGACAAAGCAAAATCAGAATAGAGAACTCAGTATAGAGACAAAGGAAGAGACACTAGTACGGATCCAGGGGCGGCACGGGACACTATCCCACAAGCTCAAGTTTTAGATGTTTTTAATTCATGTAGTTTCAAAATTTCACTATACATATCAATCAAGGCCATTCTTGTAAAATAATTCCTCAAAACTAATCTGTTAGGATTAAATTTCAGTTCCATAGAAGTGCATAAAACTAAACACCTATGGCTTTTTAAATACTTCTCACATTTCGTCTTCAAATCCAAAGCCAACGCATTTAAAAGAGGCAATAGCAGCAAATTGATAAATCTCCCCTTACAGTATCAGTCGACCAGAAAAATGACCTTGCTTCTCCATATGGCAACTTTAATACAAAAAAAAAAAGTTTAGTTTTAATAAAAAAAAAACCTGCCTTCCTCTACATTGCTTATATTGTCTACATTGCTTAGGATAGGTTCCTCACAGTTTTACGGCTGGAGCGGATTAATAGTTAGGTACCTTTTAACCAGCTTTTGGGAAAATGCAAATAAGACAGAACATCTACACAACACAGGATACACGGCACGTTCAACTGATTTGATCACCACTTTGCAAATAAACCTTATTTCCCTTATTTTAAACAAAACTTATCGTTTCCTAGAAGGATTATTTAAGTTTCTGAAAAACCTTGGACAACTGTAAAAAAAATAAAAATAAAAAATAAAAATAATCACAGAAAAAGGGGAAAATGGGGAAACAGGTAGAGGACTGATGATGCTGGTTCCAGACAATGAATGGTCATGTTACAGAAGCAGTTCTTGGTGACTACATTGTATCAGCCATTTATTTTTTTCCTTTTTCATTTTTTAAAAGATGCACTCTGCGCTTCCTCTCCCGTCAGTCTGTGTGAATCTGTCCCCCGCAGCCGTCAGGCCCGCGGTGCCCGACGTCTCAGCGCCCCAACAGCGCCCCCCCACAGCGCCAGCCCGGGACGCGTGCTTCCGTGCTGGTGGTGGTGATGGCGGCGGCGGGCAAAGTCCAATTAGGATGCGCTGCTAACCCTTCGTCTAAATGCAGACTCCCCCCGTCCCTCCCCCCCTGTTTTTATGGTCGTAAAAAGTTTGCAGATCCGTCTAAGCCTCCCACCCGCTACCTCCCGTCTGGGTATGGTTTTTCTGAGCGTGTCAGGGCTTGTTGGCGTTGACCAAGAGGTTCCCCCCCCCTCCCACCCCCCTCCCTCGCAGACACAAAGGGCGTCGGAGGCTGTCCGGAGGGACAGGCCATTCAGTTCCCTCTCCCCCCACGACCAGGGCAGTGCAATACATAGAGATGGATGAGCTTCCCAGTAACCCTGCCATTGATGTACCTGGAGGGAAATGGGTAGAACCGTGAGAGCCGAGCACAGCAACCGGCGCAAAGATCTTACTAGATCCAAGAAGCCAAAAATCAAGTACAACGTATTTACCGGGTGCACTTTGCATGGAAAGAGCCCGGCTGGTATCCGGATGAAGCAGTAGGCGGGGAATAGCATGCCCCACCCACCCACACCACCACAGGCCCCACCCACACCACCACAGGCCCCACCCACAAACCACCACAGACCCCGCCTACACAGGCGTACCTGACACCGGTGTCCCGTGCCAAGAGGGAGGGCCTACACGCCATAGCAGGTGGACAGCCGCTCCTTCAGCAGTGGGGGAAACTGCTCGGAAAACTGCTGCCAGTTCTCGTCGCCCACCTGGTCCTTGAAGCCGTGGAGGATCTGAAAGGGTGAAGGCGAGGCCTCAGTCACAGGCCGCATTCGGACACCCCGGCGGGTCGGGCCCCCGTTTGAGCGCGTCACCGTCACCCAGCCCACCTTGTAAAACATCTCCCTCAAATCGTCCTTTGGATGCACCCAGGAGGCCACGGCGTCACAGAAGAATATGAAGTCCTGGGGGGGGGGGGGGGGCAAAAACGAGAGACAGGAACCACCGATCAATGAGCATCTCCCAGGAGCAGCTATCCTGTGACAGACCTCCACCTCCAAAACGGCAGCATTTACCCACATCCTCCAGCACTCAATACCCCGCACAGTAGTAAATGTGCATTTAAGGGCAACCAAACCCATTTATATACATCCTGTTTGTGCATGTCCTTGCATGCAGATTGCTATGTTTCTTTTAAGCTACTTCCACATTAAACTAGGCACCACTAGTGTGAGGTATCACCCGCCACATGGCTGCACTCAGGTTCTCATCCCTGAGGTGGTTTTTCATGTGATGGGTGCAGCAATGCACTGTAATTAGCTCATGCTCCTTACCTCTCTAGCATCATATTTTCCATTTCTTAGATCCCATCGGCACCTCCTCAAACCATCCCAGTCTGAACTGACAATGTCATGGAAAAGCCCTGGGGCCACCCCTCCCTAGCTGCCTTTGTCCTTGCTCGCCAGACCGAAGGCAGGGCAGCGCCACAGGCATGGAGGTGACCATGGAACCAGGGTGTGGCTCACCTGCACTACTCCGCCGGGGTTAACGCCGATCATCACGCAGATTCCCCGGAAGGCAGAGTCCTTCTCCTCATTATCGCGGATGTTCCGCAGTGACGTGCACCTGAGAGCGTCAGGAATACGACTGGTCATTCCCAACTCCACCCCAAATTGACGCACAACAAGCGTTCATAACGCCACAAAGCCCAATATTCACAAGTGTTTACTATTTTTAGGTACGCTTGCAAGTTCCATCCAAGCTCGTGGGAGTTTTACTCCACAAAAATACTTTGAGGGCGGAACGAAAAATAATTGGTTGTCTACCTGAACCAATCAGATTGTAGAGGAGGTGGGTCTAAACAACTAGAGGCAGGAAAAATATGATTGGTTGATGCCAACTCTAGTTGCTTGGATCCATCTCCTCTACAATCTGACTGGCTGTCTCCCTGAACCAATCATTTTTTGTTCTGCCCTCAAAAGATTTTTGTGCAAGTAAAACTATGAGGTTCCATCCAACCCTTGTCAGACCTGAGGTATTCTCCCTGCTTCAGGTCCCAATAGTTCTAGTTGGACATACAAAGTCAGCTGATCTAGTCTTAGGCAGACACCTGCAAATATCTTAAGCAGCAAGCCAAGGTTATGAACCTGCAACCCTAAGGACAAGAACTAATACAATAGAGCTTCTCTCCCCAGCTTTGGGATCCCAGCCCTTGCCTTATGGGTTTCTACCCTCCATCATAAAATCAGCTCTAGCTCATGGTCGTCTTCACCAAAGGGGGTGGAAAGGAGGGGAAAAAAAAAAAAAAGACAAAAACAAACTTTACACATTGACAGAACCCCGTGTATCAGGGCCCAGAACGGAAGCTAGGGACGCACCAAGGCCGGATGAACTGCTGCAACATGGGCGCCACCTCCTGAGGACACACATAGCCAAGCCGTCCGATCGTGATGGCTGCGCAGGGGGGCGAGGGGGCGGAGACAGAGCAACAGTCAGAGCTGCATCGGTCTGACGGACCATTAAAATCACACCCATAAATTACATCCACAGTCTCAGAGCCTAAATCATCCACAAATGTACATTCGGATTTCGAATGTCTGTTCAGGAAGTCATCATGTGTGTGCTGATATAAACCTGAGCCCCCAAGCAATCCAAACAGACCTTCAGGTAAAGTTTAAGCCGAGTAAGCTCGGGGGTGGCAATCAGTACCTGTGTTCTCCAGAAGGGTCTTGGGTGTGTTGGGCCGGTTGATGATCTCCACGAGATTGCTGAGGACAAGTCCAATGTAAGGCTGCATCTCTGCTCCTGCAGACATCAGAGGGCCTAGGTCAAACCACAGGTATCCCAAAAATCAGCCGGCGTGCCGTCAGCCGCAGCACGCGAGAAATGCGAGAGTCGCCGAATGGAAGTAGCAATGCAGAAGAAACATCTGAACGTCAAAAAAAAAAAAAAAAAATCATCAACTGCGTCATAACTGTGCAGCCAACCTCCCTCCCTAGCTCACCTGGACATCCTTGACCTTTCCCGGAGCTGGTCCCTGTTGAGATACCGTAAGGTCACTACACTGACTGCTCGCCTAACATGCACTGCACACACATGCAGTGTGGCCTTTCCAGCACAGCAGACCACTGAGCTCTTCCAGAAACATCTACCATGCCTCACGCAGAACCTCCACACCGATGCGTCAGAGCAGAAACCCTTCAACATGCACCATTACAGCGTGTGCAGCATTTTGCTTTTTTATTCTTTTAGCAGATTCCTTTACCCCATCAGGGGTGCCATGCCGGATCCCGCCGACACCCCCCCCACCCACTCCAGCCTAAAGCCCAGTCTGTGGATCCACACGGCGTTCCTTTAGGGAGCGTGTTTGAGTGCCGGAGAGCGGCCCAGCCCCGGCGGCCCCACGCAACATCCTGCTCTCCGCAGAACTGACTCACTCACCCATCTGCATGGAGATCTCCCCGATGGCCCAGGTCGCGTTGTTACACACGGAGATGAACTCGGGATTCAGGTTGGTGCCCAGGATGGGCATGAACTCCGCTGGGCAGGCAGAGAGAAGGGAGAGGGTGTGAAACACAGACATGGGGCATCACACACACGGTAAAGCCAACCCGGCTGACAGACTCTCACGGCAGAGCTCACCGATGCAAGGCTTGACGTGAGGGAAGCACGCTTTGGTCAGGTCCCCCAGGAGGGCGAAGGAACTCTGGCGCACCTCCGGCATGGTGTCCTGTGGGGAGCAGACATGTGCTGAACGAACGAACACACACACACACACACACACACACACACACACCGCAGGGTTTGGGAGCAGCGGGGGCCGGCTGGCCTCGGCGACGGGTCGCACCTGCATACACTGGAAGAGCAGCGTCATAATGTTGCTACGGGCGACCAGCTGCTCCACATGCCCCCCCAGGCCCTCAGCCAGGCCGCTCAGCAGGTCAAGGGCCACGATCATGAAGTCCTTGTCAGGGGCCTCATACTGGTCAGGGTGCTGATGATACATCTGCGGGGAGGGAGGGGGCAGGTGAGAGGCGGAGCTTAAACTAGCGATCAAACTGCAGGTATAATCAAAGTGATACCAGCAAACATGCCCTTAAAGGGTAACAAAATGGATATCAAGTGCTTTTGGTCTCACCATGGCCTGAGCGAGAGTCTTCTGGACCAGGGTGACACAGCGCTGGTACACTGGTTCGCAGTAAGGCAGGAAGCCGCTCTGCAGGGCCGTGGCCACTGAAGACAGACACTGGGGGAGGAACAGGACAGACGTGAACAGATGGTGCCGAGGCACGATAGCTGCACAGCACCCTCAGAGAGCCACCCCCTCCCCCCTAGAGAGGAGGCAGGACCGACCTCCAGGAGAGGGAACAAGTCTTTGTCCTCATCCTTCAGTTCGTTCCACTTCTGAATGAGGGGAGGCATCAGCTTCTGGATGTACTCCTGCGGGGGAGGGAGGGGCCACAGACCACACTGGAGAATCAGTTTACCTGAAGGAAACCACCAGGGCCACTTCCTGTATTTTGATAGGTCTATTTGAGATATCCACGTAGGATAAACGGGTGAAACAGCGGGTCAAATGACACCAAGAAGTGAGATAAGCATAAAGAGAGGCGTAGGACACAATTCAGGGCTGATTCGGGGGCTGGGGGAGGGACGCACGGGCTGGTTGAGGTGGTGGCCCACGGAGTCGGCCAGCGTGCCGATGGCGTCGTACAGGATCAGCAGGTTCTTGTGCTGGTATTTCCCAAATGCGAAGACCAGCGTGTCCAGGATGAAGCTGAGGTAGGGGACCAGTTCCATGCAGGCCTCTTCCTCCAGGGTGGCAAAAGCACTGGGGGGGTGGGGGGGGAGTGTTAAAGTGAGGGACACAGTTAATGCCCCCCCATAACATCACACACACACACACACACACACACACACACGTCGTACAGCCTGGGAATGGGAGCGGCCGTCTATAGC